GGACGAAGCCTGCCTCGTATTTATCTGTGCGTGCGATGCATCAGCTGGCAATGGAGGAACAGACAGCGTTTCCTATTGGGGCTGAGATTCTTCGCCGTGACTTCTACGTTGATGACCTGATATCTGGAGCCAGCTCTCAGGAGGAGGCTATCCGCATTCGTGAGCAAACTGCAGGAATTTTGACTATAGGCAAATTCCGGCTGAGGAAATGGTGTTCTAACGTCCCTGCTGTCCTCGATGGGGTTCCTGAGGAGGACAGGGAAACTTATTTGAAGTTCGTGGTTCGTGCTTATTCCGAATTTTGAGCTAGAAATTCACGGATTTTGCGACGCCAGCATTGAGGCTTATGGTGCCTGCATTTATGTTGTGTCTAAGGGTCAGCGGTTCAGCAGCCACTTACTCTGTGCAAAATCTCGTGTGGCTCGATTGAAAACACTTACTGTACCAAAGGTGGAGCTTTGTGGAGCGGAGTTGCTAGCTAGACTCATATCTGAATGAAGGAATGAAGGTATTCAAAGGGAAGTGTTACTGTTGGTGTGATTCGTCTGTTGCGCTCTCTTGGATTCGGGACGAACCGTCCAGATTCAACGTATTTGTCGCAAATAGAGTGGCAACGATACAGGAACTTACTGCTCAAATGGAATGGCACAGCATTTCCCACAGCATTGAACCCGGCCGACATTCTCTCTTCCAGTACAGTTGAGCGAGTCACCTCTTTGGGCTCATGGACCTTCCTTTCTTTGCGGATCCTGATGACTGGCCACCCACTGTACTACCTGTTAAGCCAACCCTGGAGCTTCGTCGGAAGGTTCTCCTGGTAAAATCGCCCTACGTAGAAATCGTATCTGAGTTCAAGTATGCGAACATGAAGATACTGTGTGCTAAGGGGGGATCTTCTAGTTCCCTCGTATCGTTGAATCCTTTCATTGATCATTTCGAACTTCTAAGAGTTGATGGCCGGCTGAAGAACTCGTCGTTGGATTTTGATGGCCGTCATCGCATCATCCTGCCCAGCAGTCATAGGCCAATATTGGCCTATTGGGGGGAGGAAACGGTAACCAAGGCAGTAAACAAGTGCGTAAGATGCTTTCGAACGAAGCCTAGAGTATTGGAGCACATCATGGCGGATCTTCCGAAGGAGCGGCTAGACGGTTCTCATGCCTTTGAGATCACAGGCGTCGACTTTTGTGGCCCTTTTTTCTACAAGCCAGAGGCACGCAACAAGGCTCCAATCAAATGCTACGTCTGCGTCTTCATTTGCTTTGCGACTAAGGCTGTTCATTTGGAGCTGATCAAGGATTCGTCTACAGTCTCCTTTCTGCACGGCCTAAAGCGGTTCATATGCACAAGACGAAGGCCGCGACAAATTTGGGCAGATAACGCAACCAATTTTGTCGGCGCCAGGAATGAGCTTTTGGATCTAAAGCGCCTATTTCTCAGCGACGACCATCAGAAGGCGGTCCTGGAATTTTGTTTGGTTGAGGCACTTCATACCGCCACGCTCCCCGCACTTTGGAGGCCTGTGGGAAGCTGCAGTGAAGACGGCCAAGTATCACTTCTATCGTGCTATAGGCACCTCGGTGCTTGGATTTGAGGAACTGCCTACGCTGTTATGCCACATCACGGCAGTTATTAATTCAAGACTCTTAGTATCCATTTCAGAGAATCCTGCCGATCTGGACGTTTTAACTCCAGCTCATTTCTTGAATTCGATCGCCTGAACGAATGGCAGTGCGTTTCATATTTGCAGCAGATCTTCTGGTCCCGATGGAAGGAAGAATACATCACATCACTGCAACAGCGCTCAAAGTGGCGCACGCCGAAGCCTAGTTTGGCAGTCGCAGATGTGCTCCTTGTTAAGGATGAGAATCTGCCTCCCATGAAGTGGCCACTAGCTAGGGTGGTCGAACTATTACCCGGAAGAGATGGCGTCGCCCGAGTCGCTGCTCTGAAGACTGCATCTGGAATCCCCAAGCGAGCCGTTAACAAGCTTTCCCTTAAAGATGCTGTTGAAAGTCAAGCTTTCAACGGGGGGAGTATGTCGGGTCATGCATCATAACGCATATGCCTACGCCCGGCAGCGGCTGTTCTGGCAGCTGTCTCCCGCTGCCTTCGTGTTGCTGCTGCACCTGCTGCGTTTAAGCAGCTCTATTGCTCTACTCGGCTCAGAAGTCGATTCGAACTATGCCATAATGCTCTCACGCTCTCGTTATGCATAGGGCACGGGCAGTCGGCCCATTTTGCCCTGCGAGTCAATTATTGATCTTCAGAACCGTCGGTCTATATACCTTTAGCAACCATATTAAATACGCGTACTGCCGCTACTAAATACTAATAAATTGATATGATAAATTTCTCGGCTCTGTTCTTAAAGTTAATTAAAATAGCTATTAAAAACGCTTAATAGCTCAAACACTAGGACTCTTTTATTTCTATATGCTTTTTCCAGAATTGTTCCCATTTTTGTATCCTTTTTCAAAACTATTACTTTTGTGATCCCCAATAGGCCAAATGGTCAGTTAATAGGGACTAAATCCATACAACAAGGTAGGTGATGGAGCAATTCGTAGCCTTATTCATAGATTTTTTTAATGGAAGCTGCACCCTTTTGGTGGAAAACATTTTTTTTCTTGGCCAAATGCTGTCGTTTCTTTTTTTAAATATTCGCCATTGCATGTTTTACCCTTTCTGAAGTCAATGTCAAGTCAATGCGAGCATTCCAAATAAACGTTCACCATGACTTTATGGTCTGAAAAACCCACCTCGGCCTTCGTTTGCCTATAATCACCCTGAGAAACTAACTATTTGACTGCTTTTTTTTCATAACTTTTTCATTACAAATTTTCCGGTCAATATGCGATGTACAGCGCTTTATGAAATACCTACACATTCAGCTGCGAAAATGTAAGCAATGACTAACAGGCTTCCACACGCTGTTGGCTGACAGTCTTCCGACTGTTCTGTACTCAGAAAAAGGCCACAAAGTATACAATGCTATGGGATCATACAAAACGTTTAAAAACGTCTAGTTTTTTTCAAGTACAACTTTCTCCCCAAAATTTCCATAACAGCTTCTATGAAAAACATAGCCAATATATTTGTATTTTAAGCATTCATTGGATTTAGTAGAAGCAGTCACAAATGACCACGCTTCATTGTTTTTAAAACAGATATCCATTCTAATATTTCATCCATGTACATGATTATGAATATGTACAATATTTTGATGCTGAATCACATTCACAACCATTGCAAGAAAAGTAAACAAGTTTTCCGCTTTACCAAATTCTGTGCATCAGCTGTTTTTCATAGATGGTGCCAGTGGGAATCGGAGTTTCACATTTGTCAAAAATTCACAACGTTTCCCCCCATAGATGTGCTATGCGGGAAAAGGCAATAAGGTAGAATCCAGCTCAGCTTTAATTTTGGATGGACTAAGACCTTTCAAATGAAAGTATTGAATCACATAACGATGAACAATTGTGTCCAAGTTTGCAAATCAATTTAGAGCTTTTTTTTATCAAATCGACCCAAAAACAACTGCGCAAGGTAAAAGCACCAAACTTTAAACTGAAGCTTTTAATAGTCGGTACGGTACTTCCCCTTTTTAATATTTTTTGTGAAAATTTTCCAAAAATACTATGTTGTCCCTCGTATCAGGCTTTTGAAAAAAATTATTTTCTTTCATTTTCCGCTCGTTTTAATATTTCTGCATAGCCACTATGACCCCTCCCTCTGAAGTAGAAATCCCCAGCGGCAAAAAACGACTAAAAATAAGTATATACATTTTTAACTTATTAATATAAACTTACTATCCAAATATAATAATCGAATGATTTTGGTGTAGTGTTGAGATTTAAAAAAAACCTGGTCGTTATTTCGATTTTCCTACTAATCCAGAAACTATAAATCCCTTCATTTGTAGCGTTGCACCAAAATACCGCCTAGAGTATTTGTACTCTAACCCCCTACTGCAGAACCACTATATCATCGTAGTATTTAATTATATTAATTAAATTTTTGTATAACTTAGCTGTACGTTTTCTGTACAGTTCTGGTTGGTTTGGTTTTTTACCATTTATATAACTTTTGTCATTGTGCGTCCTAACATACAAAAACTTATTCGAATCGACATACGTGAAACCGGAAACAGGCATGAAACATACATATACAGGCAGGCTCCGGCTTTCACTTACTTCTGCGTTTTTAGCCAAAAGTCATACTTTTCATTGCAAGGCGCTCTGATATTCGCAAAAGTAAGGTTTATTTCCTACTGTACTGTTAAGCGAAAAATTGTCTGCTGTTATACCCACGTGTTAGTGCCAGCTCATACAAAAAGTCCTCTGTTATGTTTAACAGAGATTAATTGATAACCAAATCGGGCTGCCACAGCTATTTGGATGAATACACTATTTGTTGTTGCAATGCCCAATTTTTTCAGATCCTGTTTTGAGTTTGGTTTAAATAATAATTTTTCATAATAAAGGCACAGGCTCAATCGCCCTGGTAATGGTGTCAAATTCATATCAATGCTTTTTTAAATATGACTCGTTTTCTTGTATTAAAAGCCGTTTACTTTTCAGTTCGGCGAGGAATTTGTAGCCGTTTTGAAAATGGAAAAAATTTGCGTTTTACGATTGCCGGAGCGACTAACTTTCCGTTTTGAAAAGTAAATCGGAATTTTTTGCGGAAGTGAAAACCGGAGCCTGTCTGATAATTGTTTACCATTTTTTTTCATATTTATTAAGAAAATTCGAACCAGTTTTTAAAATTCAGCAACTTTTAGACTGAAACAGGCGTTAAACAAAAAAATTCAATGAATCTCTCGCTAGTGATTCATCAAGTATAAATTTTACACTTAAAAGTATTTATGTATGCGTGTATTTATCTAAACATATAGATGTGGATGCATTTTTATACTTATCATTGGATAATAAACTGAAGACAGTAGTGAAACAAAGTCAAGCGATATATTTGACTTGACAAAAAAGACAACTTACTTCTCCATAGTGTTCTTCGTTTTGTTGTAGCAAATCAACGCAAAGTTCGGCTAGGTGTATTAAGTCCTCTAGTTTTTTTGGTGGCGGTACAATAATTTCTCCTCGCAAGTCATCTAAAGGCGGAATATTTTATATAAAATTTCATGCATACATTCATTTATATGCATATAAACACCTTCAATTTTTGCTTTATTGGAGAGTCGTGTGTAATTAACAAGGGCAGCTGTTTCTAAGCTTTTTTTAATCATATGTCGAACTTCTTCAGGTGGAACAGGAGTGACTATATCTTTCATCAGTACTCTCTCTAACAAAGATAAGGTAGCTTTTAATGCACCTTCGGGACGACCAAAAGGAAAGCAATATCTAAAATTGGTTATTTGAAATTCGAGTAACTGACGCAGGCGTTCTTTGATCTCGGAAAACTTCTCTTTCTCTTCATGAGTAATGCTTCCCACTCCATCAGGTCTATAAAAATGTTTGAAATTGTATTAAATTACAACCAACAACGCAATCTTACCTATTGCCGTGGACATGACTAGCGCAGAATGCAAATGAATAATGAATTAGCGTCGGATCAATCATATGCTGTTTTTCAGCACGATCCAATAGGTCAGAAAGATAACATAAGTGTCTATAGCATCCCCTTACACCATAGCGAGCGCAATATTCATCTAAAACAAAAACTTGACCAGGACTAAACCATCCCTGCACAGATAATTGCATATTTTTATTAAAATATTTCATAAATAAAATAAATATATAGTTAATCTACTTACCAGAGATGCATACGGATCGTTAAGACGGTACTCAAGTGTTAAGTTTTGTAAAGTTTTAAAAAGCGTAGCATGGTCATAGGTACAAGGATCAGCACTTATATAATCCTCCATGCCATGTTTTCGTGCTTTATCTGCATCTAAATGTAAGAAGAAAAAAAAGGAATAAATTAAGATTTGACGTTATTTCTTTCTGTTTTTGTAGGTACTCGGCAACATGTAAGGAATGTGCCGAAAATAAACTGCACAATCGACAGCATCGCACTGCAAACTTTTGATTATACACCGTTAGAAAGCTTGTAAAATTCTGCGTTGCTTGCATGTTCTCTTTTTACTATTACTATTTACTAGCACTGTTTAGTTTCAATGTCTCGAATTGAAGAACAAGTTCCCAAAAAAGTACACAACTTCTGTACGGCAAAGAGAAAGGTGTGTCGTACAGACAATTAGCTAAACGCTAAAAAAATTAGTGTTAATAGTGCCCTAAATATTATATTTAATTTTGGAGACACATGTTCTTTAAATGATTTGCCAAAAACTGGAAGAAAAAAAGGTACAAGAGATCAAGGTATGTATTAAAAGGTGTTGGCCCTAATCCACATCCGATATTGATATCCGTTCAAAAATGGGCTGAAAAACCGAAACAAATATTTGAGTGGTTTCAGCAACAGTATAACATAAAGACATTCAAAAAACAAAAAGTAGAAGTTGGCAAAACGAACGATCAATGATCCAGCTGGATGCATTTCTATGAACGCCAGAGCTAATGTTAAATTGGACTTTACACGACCATCAGTTTTATACAAAAATATAAAGATGTTGGTGTTGGTGGAAAAAGAAGATAAATTTGGCGAGAAAGATCCGATACCTTTGCATCTCTAGTCGGTGGTTTTCTCAAATGTTATTTTTGTCGATTAATTTAAATTTTTGCTATCACTTAATCAATTAGAAACAAAATTCCATTCTAGTTTTTGCTATATCATTGCCATAGCCATATACATATATTTAGAAAACAATTATTTTTAAGGTCAAACTTTTGAAGCTCCTTTTCGGTAACTTTAAATTTTAGACTCGTTAAACTTATTTAAATAGACAAACGGCTTTTTACGACAAAGACAAAATTTTTTCCATAAGTGCAGGATAGCTTACAAAATGCAGGACGAAGAAAATTTTCTGTTGATGGTAATCAAAGCGAGAAGGAATTTTTAAGTCGCTTCTATGGACTCGAATCTACTTTTATACCCGTACTGAGTCAGAATCTATAAACGATTTGAACGTGCTTTAAATAGTTGTAATACATACCACCTTGTATTTTTGACATGGCTGAATTTTTATCCTGAGTAATGGGTGGCGTAGGTTTATGGGATTGCCCTGTGGCTCTGTACATTGCCATGACCCACAGGCTACACTCGTTCTCATCATCGCAGGCAAATGAGATACTATCACCCTCGCGAACAGCGTTAAAGAAATAACGACCACCATTTAAATCGATGCCGAACATAAGATTTGCTATATAAAAATAGGGGAAAGTTTTATTTTCTTGTACATTCTTGGATTTTAGTTTAAATATACCGCTAGCTGCCTCGATGTAATCTACCGTATATCCATCAAGCTGCATCATCTCAGACGGCTCCGATTTTTTTTCTTTGTAACTGCACATTGCAAATGTATACTGGGAAACTTGAACTAACACAAAATAGCGCCGCTTCCACTTTTTCCAAACAGATTTTCCAATTGCATAAAGATGCCTGAGTGTAAAAATGTATTTCAAATCGAAATATATGTCATTACAATAATATCTTACATACCCACAATGTTTCATATTTAATGGTTTATCGAGTCTGCATGCTATTTTAATACGTATATCTTGATCTGGCAAGTTCTTCGGTATAATCATACGGTGCCATTCTGGTGACTTGTACCAAACAAAAAAAAGTTTTATTTACGATAATTGTTTATGTTTATGCAATGCTTACTTTGGATGAAAGTGGTGTAGGTTTCAGGGTTACTTTTCCTAGTTCTTTATCCTCCAACGCCAGCATTCCAGGGTTTTCTGTATAAAGCTTCACCTTTACAACAGGTAATGGATGTGTAGTAGTAAAATCGCCTTGAGTGTCCCACCTATTTGCAAAAATGTATTAGATCAATTCACATCAGATCGCATAGTTGCCATTTTCTCACATTGGTTTTGATGCTTCTGCTTGATCCGTTTGAAGCTTTTCGCCATTTTCAACTTCCATCGTGCAATAAACAATACGATTGGGAGCTAGCGATTTAAGACCCTTAACTTCCATTACAATGACTTCTAGTTGAAATGTAAGTACAACGTCCAACTTTGTTAATTGAGTAGAACCATCCTCTGAGTCGCCCTCCAGTTTAGATAGGGAGCCATGGGAGCGCAATATAAGTTTCCTTTTTTTTTTTATAAATTATGGAAAAATACATATTTAAAACAAAAAAATTCTTTGCGAAATATCTAAGCATGACATTAAGAATTGGATTTTCTTTAAAGTAGTTGTTCACCTATTAAAAACTATTTTTTTGGTTTGATTTTATGTAAGGATTTTGAAGAGCTCGCAAAACTACTACAAGGTACACCAAGCCCTCGGTTAAAACGATTCCTTCCTATAATACGTCGTTTTAAGCGAACACGTTTTAAGCTGATATATGAATTCAGTACAAAATAAGGGGTTAAAAAGGGTGGCTGGTTTATCAATTAAATCAGTAATTTTAGACGGTTTATTGGTCGTACTCAAAAAGTGTTGTTGGTTATATTAGATTTGTGGTAAAGGTGGATGTGTGTAACGCAGAACGGAAACGTTTCCGACCCCATAAAGTATATATATTCTTGATCAGTATCAATAGTCGAGTAGACTTCTGTCCGTCTTGATGAGCGCCTAGATCTCAGAGATTATAAGAGCTAGAGCAACAAAATTTTGTTTCCAGATTCATGTGATAATACACTACTACAACAGTATTTCAAAATTTCCCCCGCCTCCTGCAGCAAGAGACCCGCTACTCATACTCATACTCATACATACTTTCTCGCTCGCACTCTCTGCTTCGTTATGTACACAAGTGCCTCTAGCGGAGGAGATGTAGAATCTAAATGGTACATGTATGATCTACATGTTAGATGTAGAATATACATAGTAGTAGAACATAAGCTCAAAAATGTATATACTGACTGAGTACTCACGTTCCTTCTCGTTTTCACATAAAATAAGTATCTGAAAAAAATTTTCGATTCTAAAAAGCTAGTGCAGCTAAAAATTAAACCCAAGCACTTTGCGGTTTTAGCTTACCGTCTGGGATATATGAAGCTTTCAAATGTAAAAATTATCATTTTTGTGCGGTATTTTTTACGAAATTTTGACTTTAAAAAGTCGAAAAATTAATTCGGCGTCGGCGGATCTAATATAGGTTGATCAACCCTCCGAATATTAAAAATACCGCACAAAAATCATTTTGCATTTGCATCTCCCAGACGGTAAGCTAAAATCACAAAGTGTTTGGGCTAAACTTCTAGCTGTTTTAATTATCTTTTCAAAATAGCAAAGTTCTTTACAATCAGACGTAAAATACTAGAGTTATTTGAAAATAGTAGCGCTACCTCTGAAAAAATCTTTAAAAAAATACCAGTTTTCAAAAATTCTTCAAAAAAAAGTTCTGCCATAGAAAAAACGAGAAGGAACGTGTGAGTCGCTTCTGAGGACGCGACTCTACTTATACCCGTACTCAGTCAGTATTTACATTTTTGATCAAATGATTTTTTAGAATTTTAAATTTAAAAAAAAACATTTTTTTTGCTACATATTTTATCTACATCTACTATGTATATTCTGCATCTAACATGTAGATTCTACATGTACCATTTCGTTTCTACATCTCCTCCGCTAGGGGTCGCTCGCGCACTGAACGCGGCAGAGTGTGCGAGCGAGAAAGAGAATGACCAGCGTGTCTCTGGCTGAAGTAGGCGGGGGAAACAACTGAAAATTGATTTCTTCATTCTGGCTATAATTATGATCCGATCTGATTCAGATTCGGCAGTCTGGTAGATATGGGCATTTTTTACGATAATGCCACAGATTTGCGTCCTTTGTGTGGGCGGAAGGGGGCGGGGCGAAATTTTGAAATACACTTGTAGCAGTGTGATATCACATGAGTCTGGAAACCAAATTTGGTTGGCCTAGCTCTTATGGTCTCTGAGATCTAGGCGCTCAACAAGACGGACAGACAGACAGACAGACGGACGGACAGACATACATGGCTATATCGACTCGGCTATTGATGCTGATCAAGAATATATATACTTTATGGGGTCGGAAACGTTTCGTTCTCTGCGTTACACACATCCACTTTTACCACAAATCTAATATACACCTTAACTCTTTTCTGAGTACGGGTATAAAAAAAAATATCATCAAACCAGCCCCAAATCTTTAAGAAAAAGTTGGTTTTGTTCCTTGAGGAAAACTCGTGTCGAGTAGTGTAATAGATAAATAAAATGAAGCATATGTTCAACTTTAAATATTATGTTAATTTATGTAAAATATGTAAACTTACAAAAATGAAGGTGTACTGTAACACAATAAGTGGAAGATCAAGAGACAGAGAAAAATTATTATAAAATCAATATGAGATTATAAAATTTGATATTAAATATATTCACCTATGGTTATAGCGTTTCAGCTTTTGTAGTCCATATTTACTGTCCATATTACCTTTCGATACCGGAAGTGACTCAAGATTTGCCATTAATAGATTTATAGATGACTTTAACTCCTCAATATAAAGAGACTCCATTTCTTTAAGAACAAATTTGGGCATAAGTTTACGGTTTTTTTCCATTTCTCCAACCCGTTGCATTCGTCCATCCAATTCCCGTCGTATTGCTGCTGCTTGTTCATCTGCCGAGTCCAACTAAATGTTTTGTAATATGCTATTAGTTGCGTTTTAAAATTGAATTAAAACATACCATTAAAGCGTTAAAAAGAATCTGATGCTCAAATTTTTTTACAGACAATATTTGTTGGAACATATCATACAACTGCTCCTTAGAAAGTATTAACTCGCTGTTTAGTGACTGCTGCATGCGTGTAGGTCTCTTCGAATCCTCTTCGCCACTTCCCTTTAATATAATGTCGAATTTTGCCATCCAAGAAGTTAAAACTGTTTCTTTACTAAGCCCATCTATCTCTGGTAAAGATCTTAAAACGGAAAAATTAATTTAATTTAATTGTAAACTTATCATTATCATTAAAATTTAAAACTTTAATTAAATACTGCTAAAGCAAATATTTTTTTATATATACCTCACACGTTTCTCAATATTATTGCGGAACACTTCTCGAAAATCGTGTTGCGAAGATGCTCCAGATTGAACCATTTTTAATACACGCTCCGATTTTAAAAATACATCATGATAACTCTGCACAGCATTTTGAAATGCCTCATCAGCCATTATTTGTGTTTCCCCCTTAAGAAATGCCTGGAAGTTTTAAGAAAAATATATATCTATACTATACATTTTTAGAAAAAAATGTGTGTGTTCTCCGTTCTCTGCAATGTGTGGACCAAATTGCATGCAAATTATATAATAGCCAGGGTATGTGGCATGGTTTTTATACAAAAATTTGTTATTTAATGTGTTTTTGAACGCCTCTTTCATTTTGTATCATTCTGTAGAACGCAACATTTTATGATAGATTTTGTTTGTATGTACCGACGGCAACAAAACAAAGAATATTGTTACTCACAAAGCATTGCAATAAATAAAATATGTCATTACATACAAATTATCATTGTTTAATTTCGATGAATTGCTTAACATTAAATTCATATATGATATTTTTTTTTGGGATACAAGACTCATACTATATTACACTACTCAACCAAATTGAACGAAATTGAAATTATTTACGCTTAGAATATATTATAAATAAATATAAATAAATAAAAATATAAATAAATATTATAAATAAGACCTTATCTTTTTGAAGTTTCAGCTTACCGTATGGAAAATATCAAGCTTTCAAATGCAAAATGTATAATTTTTAAGAGCTTTCTTTTACTTAAAAAAAAACTTTAAACTTTAAATAAAATTATATGGAGAACCGGCTGAACAAAAATTGTTTGAAAAACCCTCCAAAAACCACATTTTACCGTTTGGAATAGAGCTGGGAAAGTCTACTGACTTTCAGTCGAAGAACTGAGGCACTCCTTGAGAAAAAATTATCTTTTCCAGCACACAACAACCGAGCCAGCAAAATTATATCCTCAAAGTAAACCATTCGATACATTCTGCCGCAGCACTGCTCCTAGCTCAACTGTAAAGTCAGCTTGATGCATATATGTATCTCGCTTTGACTGCAAGCATTTCTCATAAGGCTATACCTTATTATAAGGTACAGATCCCATATAGTGTTGTGACATTACACTTGGCCAATTTTTCTGCGTAGAGACGTTAGCATCAAGCGCGTACAAATGAGTAGGCAGGAGGTCCAGCAAGTTTTAATACTTCAAAACAAAGACAACACTTAAATTTTATTTGTTTTTCCCTTTGGAAATTATTTTTTCATGAAGTTTAATAACTACTCGACAAAATCGAACTTTTTTCCCCCAGGAACTATACCTACCTTTTCTGATAGCTTTGGGGCTTTAGGTATTTTTAAAAAGAATTATGTTTTTTTTATAGCAGAACTTTTTGTTTTAAGAATTTTTGAAACCTGCTATTTTGTAAGCTTTTTCAAATTTAGCGCCTTTTTTCTTTACATAACTTAAGTATCTTACATTTGGTGGTAATAACCTATGCCATTCTAAAAAGTTAACAAATGCAGCTATAAATTAGACCCAAACACTTTGTGATTTCAGTCTAATGTGTGGGAAATATTCAGTTTTCAAATGAAAAATTATAATTTTTGTGTGGTATTTTTAAAGACATTTTTACCTTACAAACTGAGGAAAATTCGAAAAATATGTGATTTTTGGGTTGGTCAACCAATTTTAGATAAGCCGTCTCTCCATAGATTTTAATGAAAACGAGAAAGAACGTGCGAGTCGCTTCTGGGCACGCGGCTCTACTTATACGCGTACTCAGTCAGTATATACATTTTAGAGCATATGATTTTTTAGAATTTTAGAATTAAAAAAAAATTTTACATTTTTTTTCTACATCTGATATCTACATCTAAAATGTATATTCTACATCTGTTTCGCTAGAGGCTAGGGTCTCTTCCTGTAGGAGGCAGGGGAAACTGCTGAAAATGAATTTCTTCATTCTGGCTATAATTATGATCCGATCTGATTCAGATTCGGCAATCTGGTAGATATGGTCATTCTATACGATACTGCGTTTTATCGTATCTTTAAAATTGTGCCTGCCACAGACTTTCGTCCTTTATGGAGGCGGAAGGGGGCGGGCGAAATTTTGAAATACACTTGTAACAGTGTGATATCACATGAGTCTGGAAAGCAAATTTAGTTGTCAACAAGACGGACAGACAGACATGGCTATATCGACTCGGCTATTGATGCTGATCAAAAATATATGTATATACTTTATGGGGTCGGAAACGTTTCCTTCTCTGCGTTACACACATCCACTTTTAACACAAATCTAACTCTTAACTCTTAAGGAACAAAACCAACTTTTTCTTAAAGATTTAGGGCTCAGAAATGGTTTGATGATAATTTTTTTTTTCTATGGCAGAATTTTTTTTTAAGAATTTTTTAAATCTGGTTTTTTTTTTAAGCTTTTTTCAGAAGTAGCGCTTCTTTTTTCCACGTAACTCTAGTATCTTACGTCTGGTTGTAAAGAACTTTGCTATTTTGAAAAGATAATTAAAACAGCTAGAAGATATTCCCAAACACTTTGTGATTTCAGCTTACCGACTGGGAAATATAAAGCATTAAAATGCAAAAATTATGATTTTTTTGCGGTATTTTTAACGAAATTTTGACTTTAAGAACTCGGGAAAAGTCGAAAAAAAATATATCCTATGACCTCTATTTTTTTGTGTATAGGTGCATTTATTAGGCGTCGTTTAAGGTATTGTTCATTAAATTTATAAAGAAACTTTGGAGCTAAAATTCAAACCTAAAAAATGAACAAAAAATACCTTTTGGAAGGTTGCGGGACCAACTGCTAATTGGGATCGCGATCAGGTACCAAAAATGCAACCTCTTTTCGTTTGCTTTGTTTCTAATAAATTTCCTTACCTGGAATCGTTGGATAATTATCTCTAATTGTTGTTTCGTAATTTTTGCTTGCCGTTTTGTCATATCCGTGGGCTGTTTAGCATTAAACGGATATGAAATACATCGCGATATAAATACATATAGCTGAATTCGGCGTTTGCGTTCTTCCTCCTCGCGTTCATGTTTATCCTAATAAATATAAGTTGTTAATTTCATGGAATAAAATACTTGGGTCTTTTAGATGTATTTAGTAAGTAAGTAATTAGTATCTTTACTGAGTGTACCGAATGTATTTTTATATAGAACTAGCGGACCCAGCGAAAGTTGTCTCGTCCCTTTTTAATGATTTTCAGATAAACTCCAGATTGGTAATAACAAAAAATAGTTAAAATTTCCATATTCGAAATTTCATAGAGAAACGAATACTGGCTCCAGCGGATGAGTCAAAACGGGCAATTTTACCTTTCCACCAGCGCAGCATATGCCGGGGGTTTCCGATTGAAACTTCAATGCATTGCAATGCTGGCATACGACAGACAATGAACCGATATCAACGCAGCGAAGATAGGCTATTCGCAATCGTATTCGAAAACAGCGCGATTCAACAAGCAGACCCGGCGAACGTTGCCTCTCCCCTATTTAACGCCTTTAGATTGATAATAAAAAATAGTTCTGTCATTTAGAGTGGGCTGTTATGTTATAAAAGCAATTACTTTCGGTAATAGCTGCGCGGATTGCATCGCACACTATGTGTGCGTAGATCGCCAGAAGCACCCACGAGTATAACAAGGTATTCAAAAGGCACATTATGTTGATGATTATATCGACACCATAGACAACGAACGAGAGGCTCTAGAAGTATCAAATCTCGTTCGCGGAGTGCATCAGGCCGGCGGCATCGAAATTCGAAACTTGGCTTCAAACTCTGACAAGGTTCTTAACCAACTCATTAATGTTGTCTCTGCAGTGCATTTGAAAGTCCAATTCGGTGACACAGAGAAGATCCACGGTATGTAATGGAAACACCTTAAGCTCTGTACGACAGCTGGCGACAGTGGAAATGCCTTTAACCAAAAATCAAGTCCCTTGAAATACCCATACAAAATATATACAACGAGAGAGAACGTGCGAGTCGCTTCTGGGGACGCGACTCTACTTTTACCCGTACTCAGACAGTAAATACATTTTTGAGCATATGATTTTTTAGAATTTTAGAATAAAAAAAAAACATTTGACATTTTTTTGCTACATCTGCCATCTACATCTACAATATATATTCTACATCTCCTCCGCTAGGGGTTGCTTGCGCACTGAACGCGACAGAGTGTGCGAGCGAGAAAGAGATAGGTATAGCGGGTCTCTGGCAGGAGGGGGCGGAAGAACCAACAGAAAATTAATTTCTTCATTCTAGCTATAATTATGATCTGATCTGATTCAGATTCGGCAATCTGGTAGATATGGGCATTCTCTACGATACTGCGTTTTTAGTTTTATCGTATCTTTAAAATTGTGCCTACCACAGATTTTCGTCCTTTGTGGGGGCGGAAGGGGGCGGGGCGATATCACATGAGTCTGGAAACAAAATTTGGTTTCTCTAGCTCTTATAGTCTCCGAGATCCAGGCGCTCATCGAGACGGAAAGACGGACGGACGGACATAGCTATATCGACTCGGCTATTGATGCTGATCAAGAATATATGTACTTTATGGGGTCGGAAACGTTTCCTTCTCTGCGGTGCACACATCTACTTTTACCACAAATCTAATATACCCCTTAACTCTTTTTTGAGTACGGGTATAAAAACGTTGTATAACGTTTTCTAAATAAATCATTTATAAATTCTTTTATATTAAAGTTTTCAAGTGCTTTTGAATCAGAATCAAAGGTTTTTCCATTTAAAGAATTGTGAAGAGTGCAAATGAAAAAATGAGAAGGAACGTTTGAGTCGCTTCTGTGGACGCGACTTTACATTTATACCCGTACTCAGTCAGTATATAAACTTGTAAGCTTATAATTTATGTAAAACTTAAAAAAAAAATTAAATTTTACATTTTTTGCTACATCTGCTATCTACATTTACAATGTCGATTATACATCTTATCCGCAAAGGTAAGGCACAGCACAGGGCAGAGTCCGAGTGAGAAAGAGAATAAGTAGCGTCAGGAGAGCTGGAAGAGGTGAAACTGAAAATTACTTTCTTTATTCTGGCTATAATAATGATCCGATCTAATTCAGAATAGGCAATCTCGTAGATATGGTCATTCTCTACAATACTACGTTTTCACTATTCTGGTATCTTTACAATTGTGCCTGCCACAGATTTGCGTCCTTTGTGGGGGCGGAAGGAGGCGGGTCGAAATTTGTAAAATACATTTTCGACCAGTCGCTGATCTCAAAATCTTAAAAACGAAATTTTTGCACAAAATCCTTGACATTTTCGTTAATTTATTGCAATAAAGTAGATGCCGAGAGCCATCATTGGAAAACGCAAAATAGCGAACACAAAACGTTATGCGGTTCGTCCAAAATTTAAAACGACGAGGAACTCCAGAGGCTACCATACTAAGAGACGCAAACAACTTTTAATTTTTAAAATTAAGCTTGTTCTGTAACACCTGACGTTATACGTTATAAATATACGACATTGGGTATATTTATGTTCTGTAACACCTGACGTTATATTACTTTCTTTATTCTGGCTATAATAATGATCCGATCTAATTCAGAATAGGCAATCTGGTAGATATGGTCATTCTCTACAATACTACGTTTTCACTCTTCTGGTATCTTTACAATTGTGCCTGCCACAGATTTGCGTCCTTTGTGGGGGCGGAAGGAGGCGGGTCAGGTGTTACAGAAATTAATGTCGACCTAATGTCGTATATTTATAACGTATAACGTCAGGTGTTACAGAACAAGCTTAATTTTGTTGGGTTACAAATAGAGAATTCAAGTCCATCTTAAAAGACAACTTCGGCAGTTGTCTCCAGTTTCCAATTCTGAGAGACAGGAAACATGTTTAACGCTAATTGGGTATAACTTTCTATTGCCGTAGATATGTAAAGGCTTGTTGGCTCCTTACTCCCTCTGCGTAGTTTCTCTTGAACACATTTCTACCATGGTAAATAAGACCATGGGTGTGTTTGGGCTTATAAAGCGGTGGCCAAAGAAATTTGATGATCCCTATACACCACTCCCACCCCCTTTCTTTATCTAAATCACACACAAAGAAATTATTTGAATGTAAGTTCTCGCGATATGCCAGTTTATATATACTTTACTTTTTATATGTACTTACATGTGGGTCTCCTGTTTCAGGCTTCTCGCTGTTAACGGATGGTGATGGTGACAAAGGTCGTGGCAGTGAGTTGGCCCTCGACGATCCAATGCTCTGATTTAATGTTTCTTGCGAAACACCACTAGATGATGATACCAACAATTGATTATTACTTTGTATTACCTCCTGGAATTGAACATCCACTGATGACCGAACACGGGTAATGCTGCTACTGTACAGGTGTGACTGAGTTTTATTCCCAGGTATATAGGATACATCAGTCACACCCCTAGCAGCAACAACTTTTTGATCGGTGAAACTTTTGTGCAGGTATGGCTCTTCAATAGTGAACTTTTCATGTGAATTGTTTATTTGTTTCTGCTGATGATGGTGATTGTGATAAGGAGAAAATGTTGATTGTTGTCTTTGGAGATTAGCTGACGGGCTTAACTGCTGTATTATGATTCTATTTTGTCCAGAGATGTGTTGCTTGTAGCTGGATTTACATTCACCAAATGAGCTAACCAACTGACTGTGTCATTCAATTCACATTTCAAATATATATTGGCAATGGAATGTTACGTTCATTAAGTGTTTTTCACGCAAACATATTTCATAACCATACATGCGTTTATATTTAAAGCCGATTCCGTTCCATCACAAACCATTCACTCAATTGAGTTCACGAATTTTTGTTCACGTAGATAAGATAGGTGCGGTGCATAATTAGTTTCATGAATTTAAATAATCAAATTAAATTTCGTTGTGCCAATTATGTGTTTTTTTTTAGATTATAGATATACACATGTGCAGTTATTTATGATTTGCATGATCGTACCCAAAAGAAAAATATTGAAACGAATACAAGTTCATTATTGACAACAACATATGTAGGCTAACTTCGACAGACCGAAGGTTTCAATTTCCTCTCAAATAAAATTAAGCGGTATCACAACGGATCGAAACCGGCCTAAGTGTTTCGGGATCCTATACGTACAAAATTGCAAACTTTCAAAATGCAGCTATTTTACGGTATTAAAATCTTACAAACTCATTCTTTCAAATGAAAAATTTATCATTTTTTTAATGTTGAATTTAAAAACTCAGGAAAAGAAGCAGCTAACCGACACCATTTTTCAACAAGAAACCGAAGCGACTTTTTCTGATAGATTTCTACGGCATAACTTTTTTTAAATTAATCTGTACCATTATGGAAAGCTATTAATACAGCTATAAATTTGACCCAAGCACTTTTAGGTTTCAGCTTACCGTCTGGAAAATACTAAGCTTTAAAATTAAAAGAGAAGAAACGTGTAAGTCACTTCTGGGGACGCGACTCTACTTATGTATACCCGTACTCAGTCAGTATATAGATTTTTGAGCTTATGATTTTTTAGAATTTTTGAATTTTACATTTTTCAGATTCAGAAATCTAGTAAATATGGACATTCTCTACGATACTGCGTTTTTAGTTTTATCGTATTTTTAAAAATGTGCCTGCCACAGATTTTCGTCCTTTGTGGTGGCGGAAGGGAGCGGGGCGAAGTTTTGAAATACACTTGTAGCAGTGTGATATCACATGAGTCTGGAAACCAAATTTGGTTGCCCTAGCTCTTATAGTCTCTGAGATCCAGGCGTCAAACAAGACGGACAGACGGACAGACAGACATGGCTCTATCGACTCGGCTATTGATGCTGATCAAGAATATATATACTTTATGGTAGGGGTCGGCACACAGACTCACACATTTTTTTGGTGCGTTTGTGTGCGAAAACAACAGACACGAAGTCAAATACGTTACTTATTTCTCTGCCGCTGCGAAAGCCGAAGAATTGTGCATAGGGCACACGAATGCTTCTCTGCCGCTGAGGCAAGCGGGCAGAATATGAAGCCGTTTGTGCATAGCCCGAAACATGTTTCTCTGCCGCGACGTCAGCAGAGCAGAATTTTCTCTGCCGGTACGTCATCAGGCAGAATAACGAAACCACACGAAGTCTTTACGCTGTGCGTGTGCCGACTGCGCTGCCCGAAATTTTTTCCTATGCACAGTGCATACGACGCTGCCGACCTCTGCTTTATGGGGTCGGAAACGTTTCCTTCTATGTGTTATACACATCCACTTTTACCACAAATCTAATATACCCCTTAACTCTTTTTTGAGTACGGGTATAAAAATGACATACTGGCCAACGAATATGTCGCGAACTAGTTTGTTGGATTGACTACCAGGTCTTCGGTTCTGGCGTTCGGCTCGTGCCGCGTCACCATGAGCCAGCCAGCCAGCCCAGAACCGCATTTAGAAGTTTGTATGACACACACAATATGTCATATGTGATTGTATGCATTTTTTCATCGTCCGCGCTGTTTTGTTTATGTTTTCTCTTGAAGTTCCTGCGTATTTTAATGCATGGGTGCTTACGTATTCTCACATCAGCGTTTATAGGTTTTACGATTGCTGGCATTTGTGGACTATTTCATTTTCGCTTTCTGCGGTCAACCTTTTACTTCAGCATTTTAAGAGTATTATGACACTTTGAAGAAGCTTTCCCAAAAAATCAGAAGAACTGTTTTTTTCCTAAGTTTGACATTGTACGAAATCCATTCTCGGATAACATTTCCCTTAAAAGAATTCATGGAGTTAACAATTTATCGGCCATTAGAAATTAAATTTTCCGAACTAGAGATAGCATATTTTCAACTCTCAGTACGGAACACTGCTTTCGGTATTTTTCATTCAAATCTTTTGAGAAACTTTATATAATAAAAGAAAAATCTTTAAAAATGTAATCTGCAAAAGTACATGCTGATACAATGTCTAGAAGCAAAGACTATAAAATACCAAGATGCTGCATGAGGACCAAAGGCCCATTAATTTTTCGTTTGACGCTTCATGGTACGGGCGCGCGGGGCTATTAATTCGATTCTCTTTTAATCTTTGAAATGCTGCTGGCTTTGACCATGCTAAAGCCATTGGCTGGGCACAGCGGGGACTGAGCCGAAAAGGGGTTGCACATGTCAAAAAATTGTGGAGAAATTTTCAGAACTTTCAAAAATTGTATTTTAAAGATAATTATACCCGTACTCAAAAAAGAGTTAAGGGGTATATTAGATTTGTGGTAAAAGTGGATGTGTGTAACGCATAGAGGGAAACGTTTCCGACCCCATAAAGTATATATATTCTTGATCAGTATAGATAGCCGAGTCGATATAGCCATGTCTGTCTGTCTGTCCGTCTTGTTGAGCGCCTAGATCTCAGAGACTATAAGAGCTAGGGCAACCAAATTTGGTTTCCACACTCATGTGATATCACACTGCTACAAGTGTATATAAAAATTTCGCCCCGCCCCCTTCCGCCCTTACAAAGGACGAAAATCTGTGGCAGGCACATTTTTAAAGATATTTTAAAGATAAAACTAAAAACGCAGTATCGTAAATCTGAATCAGATCGGATCATAATTATAGCCAGAATGAAGAAATTAATTTTCAGTTGCTTCCCCTGCCCCCTCCCGCAAACGACAACACAACTCATTTTCCATCTCGCTCGCACACTCTGCCGCGTTCAGTGCGCGAGCAACCCCTAGCGTAGGAGATGTAGAATCTAAATGTTACATGTATAATCTACACGTTAGATGTAGAATATACATAATATATGTAGATTTAGATAACAGATGTAGCAAAAAAATGTAAAATGTAAATTTTATTTTTTAATTCTAAAATTCTAAAAAATCATATGCTCAACAATGTATATACTGACTGAGTACGGGTATAATTAGAGTCGCGTCCCCAGTAGCGACTCACACGTTCCTTCTCGTTTTATTTTATGAGATATAGCACTCAATGTTGAAAATTAGGTCAATGTAAAAAAGTTTACTGAACTCTTGTTCGCTTAATACAAATCAACGATGCAACATCGCTGACGAGTCGTTGTCGAAATTATTTTTTTTTAAATTAAATAATATTAAGTAATTATACGTAACCCAAAACATGGCACCAAAACCGAAAAACGTAACATTTAAGCGCGGGGGTTAACTTTGTGGACCCTTTACAAGGATATGACATAATATTGGTGAAAAGTCAAACGCAGAGACCGTTATTTACTGTTGAGTTTTTTTTTATGGAAAAAAAATCATTTATAATCATTATTTTAAGCGTACACAAAAAGAGTTAAGAGGTATATTGTATTTGTGGTAAAAGTGGATGTGTGCAACGCAGAGAAGGAAACGTTTATAATGTATATATTCTTGATCAGCATCAATAGCCGAGTCGATATAGCCATGTGTGTCTGTCCATTCGTCTTAGTGAGCTCCTAGATCTCAGAGGCTATAAGGGCTAGAGAAACCAAATCTTGTTTCCAAACTCATGTGATATCACACTGCTATTCTGGTCAGCCGTATCCATACAGTTTACCAAGGTCCAATGGCATCTTCAGCCCCTTGTTAAATGAAAGCTCACTGCTTCATGATCTTCGACTAGTTAAGCCGGTGTTTTCACCAGGTCCCGACGGTGTTCCCGTCTGTGTACTTAGGTACTGTGCCGACGCTCTGTGTGGACCCCCGCTTAATCTATTCACCCTATCCATTAACTCTTCATGCTTCCCCCCCCAAAATCTGGAAGGAATCTTTTATTATTCCGCTCCATAAGAAAGGTAGCAAGTCTGATGCAAATAATTATAGAGGTATATCTAAGTTATCCACTATTCCTAAAATGTTTGAAAAAATTTTAACTGCGCATTTGCACCATCTCTGCAAATCACTTAGATCTCCGTCTCAGCACGGATTTATAAGACGACGATCAACATGTATTTCTACTAGAAACTTTATTCCTTTGTTCCTTCCGCTATGTAGATCAAATTATTCCTTGCACGAACCATTTATGGTCATATGCTCGGACTTCAATTCCCTCTACCATATAATATCCACCACTAATTCCCTTCCTCTTCTTAAGTCACTAATACTAACATACCTTTCCCGTAATTGGTACAATTTTTTAGCTATCTTTGCATGTTTAGCTCTTTTAGTTGTATTTAGCACTAATTTTCCTCGAACGTTAGTCTAACACCTGCCTTTCCTACATGCTCGCGATCGGTTCGTCATGCGGCTGCGCCCCTCGGTCGGTTAGGCGGGTGGAGGGTCTGCGTATCTGCCTGGGTTCCGCGCGAAACAAGCTTCGGCTTGGTGTTGCATGGGCCACTTGATGGTGCAGTCATTGCATATCAACGTCCAGACAAGTGTATTTTAAAATTTAGCCCCGCCACCTTCCGCCGAAGGTACGATGAAACTAAACTACGATAATAATCAGTATTGTAGAGTATGACCATATGAGTATGACTACCAGATTGCCGAATCTGAATTAGATCGGATAACATTTATAGCCAGAATAAAGAAATTAATTTTCAGTTCCCTCACCCCCTCCAGCAAGAGACCACGACCACTCTACTCATTTTTTTTAATTCTACATAAATCATAAGCTCACTAATTTATATACTGACGGAGTACGGGTATAAAAGTAGAGTCGCGTACAAAGAAGCGACT